ATCCACACTGTGCAGGCTCTCCCACACCACCCCCTCCTCCTGCAGGAAGCCCTGGTCCGTCACCAGCAGGTAAAGGTGACCCTGGCGAGAAGGGACAGGGCACGCTCAGCCCGGGTGGGCGTTCTGGGGGGCCCGAGGGGGTCAGGGGCACACCTTGTGCTTGATCATGGTGCTGAAGTGGTTGTTGCGGAAGAAGACGCCGAGCTCTCCCTCGCGGGCCCGGGCCGTGAGCTCGCACAGCCCGTGGAACGTCAGCTGCGACGCCGTGGACTCCAGGAACTGCTCGGCCACCAGCCCTGCGGGGACAGCGGGGCCATGGCGGGGCTGGGGGCGCCCAGTGAGCCCCCCGGGACCGCGGGGAGGGGCGGGGGCGTTACCTTCGCTCACCAGGCTGGAGTCGCTGGCCTGTTTGCAGGTGATGATCTTCTCCACCAGCTGGTTGTAGCTGAGCTTGCCCACGGCCTGGACCTGCTCCGGGCTCTGCGGGAAAAGGGCAGGGAAAGGGGGTGAGCTCCTGCTGGGGATGGAGCCAGAGCAGAGGGTTAGGGTTTGCAGGAGGGACCTGCAAACACAACCCAGTGCAACCTCCTGCCACAGCCAGAGGAGTCATCCACCAGCTCAGGTTAAAACATCACCGAGGGCTTTGGGTTGGGATGCTCTGGGATCACCTGGACACCCCAAAGCACAGGTGGGGACACCTCCTGTAGACCAGCTTGTTCCAAGCCCCGTCCAACCCGGCCCTGAGCACTCCCAGGGATGGGACATCCATCCTCAGCTTGCTCGCCCTGCCCGGGACAAGCCCCAGCTCCTCACAGGTCTCCAGCCCTGGCATCACTTCTGTGGCCCCGGGGAAGCCACCGGCCAGCTGGGGGGACTCACCTGGGGGTCCACCAGCCAGCCGTGGTAGAGCGGGATGTTGAGGAGGTCGAAGACGATGCACTCGGGGGTGTACTCGAAGTCTGAGACCCCCGTGAACCTCACGTTGACGTCCAGCCCCGTCGAGAGCTTCGGCAGGACCGTCATGGTGTCGCTGATGTTCTGGTGGGTGGGAGGAACACGGGGGGGCTGCTCCAGAAGGTGCCACCCCAAATCCTACGGCCAGCCGAGCTCCCCGGACAGCGGGGCTGGATGTTCTGGGGCTGCTCCTCACCTGCTGGAAATTCAGCTGCAGCCCCTCTGAGGTGTCGCGGGGTTGGGTGGCCAGGATGCAATTCCCTGCGAGGCAGCGGGGTCAGCCCAGTCCCAGCACTGGGAATGTGGGGGTCCCAGTGCAGCCCCCACCCCATTCCCCCACTCACCCAGATGTGCCATCAGCTCCTCGGCCGTGATCACCTCCTTCTGCGGGGGCAGCTTCACCTGGGAGAACCAGAGGAGGGTGGGGATCCTTCCCCTTGGGATTTGTGGGGAGCCCCCAGAGCCCCCCAGAGCCCCCCCCAGAGCCCCCCAGA